GTCTTGGAAAAGCGAACCTATATATTACGTGAGTTCGACATATTATTTGCGGACTCAAATGGATCGCCGAGAAAGAAACGAAAATAGACCACCTCATAAATGGCTGCCGGATTAATATTCTTCTGTTTAAATTTAAATTAGCCCTTCTGGCCTCGTTCTCCAGTACAAAATTCAAAAGAGGACATTATCTCAAGCGAGGCCAGAAGGGCTAATTTAAATTTAAACAAAAGAATATTAATCCGGCAACCATTTATGAAAGTGGTCTATTACCTTAATTATGCATGGCGAACTCACGGATAAACTGTGCACAGTGTGATTAGAATATATGAAGTGTTGTAGTCTTGTAAAGTTTTTATAGTGTCTTTATTTGAAGTGTACTACAAAATTTTTTTCTTATTATTAATATCTTTTACACCAAAATTGATTCATACGGCCATTGACTGATTGCAGATTAAAAGATTCATTAATATATTTTAAAACGGTCTTCTCTTGCATCTCTATTCTAAGAAATTATTCCAATTGATCATAGAATGACAATGGTGCTAGGTAAACGTCGTAAAATTCATGTTTCCGGAACGTTACCACGTGTTTCCGCACATGTTAACATGAATTTACACTCGTGGAAACATTTGTTTCCTTCAACTGAAACCTGACGGAAACATCTTAAAAAGTGGTAAGGTTCCGCTGCGATCGCAGCAACGGAAACACGAGTAAACGTCACCAAGCCGGCAGCGGAAACGCGAGTTAATGGTTGTGTTTCCACGACGGTTTCACATATTTGTTCCACGTTTCCGTTTACGGATTCTTGATGTTTCGTCCTGTGAAATGTCATTAACCTAAGTTTATGGTTAAGAAAGTTACCCAGCAGCTAGGAAAAAAAACATCAATACGGTTTGAATTTGCGATAGAGCTCATAAGCTACAGTCTAGACAACATAAGTGAAGGTGGTTATAAATGCACACAGTATTTGCTCAATTTAAGGGGAAGATATAAGTACAAACGCTACTCTCGATCCTCCTGAGGAATTCCAGCGTTAGCGTGACTCTGACGGTTCTGAGAGTTCTTTGTGTTGTCAGCTTGCCCATGGTTTAAAGCACAAAGGTGAATTCTTTGGAATTTTCTTGTGAAACGCCCTTTTATCTAGAATGGAAGTATAAGGAAATTAGAGGTACTCATCTTTGTTACCAGTTTTTCTAGATGTAAATCACCAAGATTCAAAATTCATATATACCTCACTATTTCTCAAACAGTGAAAGAAGAAAATAGAGAGTCCCTTTAAACAAAAGCAGTAGAGATTTCAGTTAATCACTTGATAAATAAACAAATCAACAAATAGATCCACAAATAAAAAAAAGCTTAAAACGTCATGGTCGTTTTTATCGAATGCATGGTAGCGACCAAAAGCGTTATACAATTTCCTTTTTTTTT